TACGTAATTTATAAATTTAGATATTGCGCCAGAAGGTGGCCGTATAGGGCAGCCACTACGGTTCCGTCACATACGGCAACAATCGAGTCATAGTCCCTACTTACCCTACTCGGGCATAACACTGCACCCTATGCTAAAAGTCTCATGTGTAAAAGGAGAATTGCTTCATGGCTCCGGTCATCGGTCCAGCCGCGGCAATGAACAATCTTTGCCCGGTGGCAAAACAAGATAGGCTCAAGCACGTTCTTTTTTCTCAAGCTTTCGAAGGTTGCTAACAATATGTACTGGCCAATCGGTGCGCTCCGTCAACTTCGGCCCCAACTTTGTGTTTGACAATTTTAGAGGCCCGAGGTGTCTGAAGAAAAAAAGATTACGGTTTGTCTGTGTTTTTTTTTACACAAAAACAAACAACGCATCGCCGAGCACAATCCCCGCCCAAATGCTATGCTACAGGCTGCGATTAGATGCCACACATTCCGAACATACCGTTACCAGATTCAAATGTTACAAGCGCTGTGACGCGTGCCATCCTCGGCGCCTCATTGGCTCGAACTAACCCTCATCATCCCGCGTTAGGCGCACACCGAATCACTCCGAGTGAACCAGCTCGCTAGTCAACAGATAACGTCCGTTAGTCAGTCGACAACAATGCCTTATGCGCAGTTTTTCTCGTCTGTAAAGATAATATGCTCCTTTCCCCTATCTGCGTCAACTTTTGAAGACAGTTCGAGGGGCGTATTACGGGCTGATAATGCAACAAAACAGAGGACGGCGACGCATCCGCCTCGAACGCAATAGCTCTTTGCTATCGTGATTCTCGATCAAAGGTTTCAGGTTGCGAGACGTCTTGTAATTATTTAATGAGGCCAACCAAAGCGAAGTAAAGGTAAAAACCTAGGCCCCGCTGGTTAATAACTCCTATTACAAACCCGAGTCAAGAGACGTGTCCATTTGTGTTTATTGTTCCTTGTCTCAGGTTTGTAATGGAAGCCAATCAGAGAGCACTAAAAGTGCAACGGAATGGCATATATGGCATCTTGTTGTGCGGTTGCTTTCATCGGTCAATCTAAACCCAGTTAATGCGCCGTTACCTTCCGCTTTTAGTAATACATGTGGACGTGTTGGTACGCCTTCTATGGTTACCAACAGAATGAGAATGACAGGGGGTTCTTTCGAACGCTGCAACACGCGATCCTTACCTTCAATCGTGCTTCTGCCTCGCGCGTGCGCTGTATGTGCAGTAACCCCAAAGCGCCGTCGAAGGTAGGAGGCTAGCGCTGGAACCGGAACAGCTGAAGCTCCTCCCTGCCGTTGTCATATTGTCGGTGACCATAGCCTTTGACTGCGCTCTGACTTCTAGCCAAGGTATAACCGATAAGCCAAACAGCCAGTGAATGCAGTCGGGAGAAACGACAGGTATTCCAAACTTTTGCCGCAATTTAATTACAGCAATTATATTGATGTAACTCAATTACTTCTTAAGTAATATTAGTAATTGGATCAGTTGCGTTTGGCTAAAAGTGATTATTTTTGGACTTTGATACATATTTAGCATCAATGCTTTTAAAGTTTTCATTACTCTGGCATCTGCTATATTTTTTTCTTTTTTTAGTCTTGGAATGGTGGAATGTTTATTGTGCCTCCGTACAGAGCCGCTGATAGGACGAAAAGCGCAGAGCTTTCGTTTTTCTTTATATAATTAATTCATGGGAAAATTACTGCGCTTTCTGGTTGTTCATTAGCCAACGAATCGAGAGAAAAAAATAGCAGTTCTTGCATCGCGTTCAAGGCACACGTTAACCTGCAGAACACTTTGTATCGGTATTTGCGTGTTCAACGCGCCTTTTTAGAACATATACTTTCACGGCTTCGTCTTTACAGCGCCAGGCGCTGTGACTATCAGATTCGCTTGAGAATTCTTGCGAGCGAACCTCTCGCTAGAGCTTTCTGCACTAGCCGTTAGGGGCCGTCGATTTCGCTGCAGTCGCCAATACACCAACACGCTGTACGTGCTTTTCGTATGCTATGCGTGCGCAGAAAGCAGACTCGTGCGAGATGAAGAGTTTGCGCATGCGCAATAGGCTTTCTAATGCGCAGAGCGGACAGCAGCGCACCGCAGGGCCGTAACATCAGAGAGTTTTGTTTGGGCATTCATGGCTTGCACGTGACGTGATCGCCAATGACGGTGGTCATTTCTAATTGTTCTTGCTGAGAATAACAAGTTTGATGGCGCGAAGTTCGTGCTGTAGAAGTGTAAGCCATCTATACCCGGCGGTAACCACATCAGAAAACTGAAAATTGTGCGGTTTGTTCCTACCCTTGAAGTGAAAGAATAAGCGCTGTTCTTCACAAAGGACAGTTTCTGAGGAGTGTTTTGACTTTGTAGGACGGTCCTCTCACGTGGGTTTCTCGTTTCGTTAAACACGTTTAATCGAAACACGCTTCGTGAAGAACGTTTCGGAGGCGGAAATTTCTTCGACGCTGCAAATTTTCGTGAACGCATACTCCTGTGACGTTTTGTCGACGACGTATTTTTTGTTACTACCGTAATTTCTGGAGAGATGCCCCACTCCCGAAATATAGCCCACGCCCTATTATTTGCATGATTTGCTATTTCTCCCGAAACACCGAAAAATAGCCCAGTTCTACTAATTGCAGGGCCCTGGCCAATGATAACCTCGGTGAAAACGTTGTTACTTAACTGCAGCGGGAGCTAGGTTAACATTTCTGACTGGGAACGACAGTCGTCTTTGGTTTACTGCCCCCTCCTGCGATTAAAGGTTTCGAGGAGAGCAAAATTTTAAACTACAACATTATTTCACCTTTTTTTTTTTTCTATGACACACCAAAAGTTTGCCCACCACTTGTTTTCATCCGATTTGCTATCGACTTTAAATGGGCTATCTCTCTGGATATTAAGCTCGGGGAAAGTTCAGTATTACCGCAGGTCCGAGTTTTCACAAGGTTTCACTGGAATCATCGAGGATTCGGCAAGATAGGCTACGATTCGGAAGCCGGAGACCGAGGTTATCTATACGCAGAAAGACGCTTTCGGCGAACCCTCGAGACATGTTCCCATGAAACGAACGCGATAACCTTTCGATGAAACGATAGGTCGCTGAAACGTCGCAGTGTCGACGAAATGGTCTGTGGATGCAACAGCGTTCATCAAACTGATCGTCCACCGCCCTCACAATGGTGATGCAAGAAATTTCTTTAGAGCATGCATTTGTATAATAAACCTGCTTCAAACGTGTTTGGGGCGCGTTGGGAAATAATTCTGCTATTTTGTCGAAATCGCTGACTGCCGCGATTGGTCAGCGCCAAGGTGAAGCGCGGCGCTGGCCAAACTCTGGGGCCTGGGGCTCTAAGCTCGTCAAACACAAAGTTGGGGCCGAATTTCACGGCGCGCACCGATTGGACTATCGCGACGATGACTTCGCGCTTTTGTCGCCAGCGTCCGATCGGCGCGCTCGGCGAACTTTCGGCTCCAACTTTGTGTTTGACAAGTTTAGGGCCCCTAGTTGACTTTCTCGCCGAGTGTAGAACGTAGAGCCGCTTGAGGAAGTGGGCGAGAAGGAATGCCGCTCTTCTTAAAGGAAAGCTACGGAGCTTCTTGAAAAAAATGAGTTAGAAGTGAATTCTAGTGTATTTTTACCTCGTGAACCCGAATACCAAAACCATTTGCCGCGCAAGTATTTTTAAACGCGAGAAAAACGCGAAAGATGGTCGCTGTCCGTGACGTCATCGACGGATCTTTTGGCTTGCCAAGGCTAGGGAGGCGGGGCTTCAGCCCTATTTTCAAACTGCTCTTATGGCTCTCTGGCGCGTCGTATTGAAATATAATTGTGATATCTGTTATTCTAAAGGCCAAATGAACGCAATTCAAGCGTTTTTTCTCAAATGTAGAAGTGCCCCATCTTCCCTTTAAGGTAAACTCGTGAAATCTGCGCGATAAAAAAAAGGTGTTTCTTCGTGAGGCGTTTAAGTTGTAGCCCTCCCTATACGTCTCTCATCGCCCAACACGTCATGCGGGGGCAGCTCGGTTATCTTATCCGGGCAGCGTCACAGCTTCCATATAAAACGGTCCCTTACCGAGTAGCGGCCGAGAGCGGTATCAGTTGCACACACGCGCTCCCATCTGCCAGTTTCGTCGCTGCTTCCCTGCACGGTAAGTCGCCAAGGCAAGCTTTTCTCCATGGACCCCGAGCATCGAAGAGGATACCATAAAACGTGCTTTTCTTTTTCTCGATTTCGCTAAACACTTCGTAAGCCGTAGTCACACTGCTTTTACATCATACAGGTCACGGTGTTCTCCGTAGACGCGAGAGAATTACCTGCGCCTACGCCTCACGCATCTTCGAACCATGCATGTTTCCTTCAGACATGTATATGCTTCGACCATGTCCGCGGACAGTGTTTGTATGGCCAATATGTGACGAGAGGAAAACACGCCTCAGAGGGGGTCGGCAGACTTTCTTTTGTATGATGCATTTGCCACGTGAGCGCGGTTTAGACGTCTACTAAGCTCGCGGGGAGAAAACCTGTCCCGCCGCCAATCTACTCAAACGGAGCGTAAAACAATTGTTTATTACAAAGCCACCCATGAACAGGTTGGTGATACGAAGCTCCTACAACTCAGGAAGGAAATAACGTTTTGTAGCATTGGACACCTTAAGAAACGCCTCGCTTGGTTTCTTACGTTCACGCTTCCATAGTTACTGACAGTTTCAGAAACGGAGGGAGCGGCGCCTGCGTCCTGAGTATCACATTATTGCCCCTCGGCCAAAGAGAACGCGGCATTAGCCGATAAGAACTCCGGAGAACGAACCAGGTAGCAGACAAGTTTTAACGTGATAAGTGACGCCCTGCGTTTCTCCAGCTCTCGGTGACCAAACATTTGTGATTAGGTCTTCCGGGTTCTGATACCAATGCCGTAATCTCATTGGCTGCGATGTGATGATAACGTGTTAGGAAGTCGCCACGGCACGCGTTTCTTTAGTTGTGGGCGGATATGCGGAGGGTGCTTCTTGAGCACGGGTTGCAATGACATCAGAACGCCTGGTTCTGATTGGCTGAATTGGAAGGATAGTGTGTACACCTCAATCCTAGCTTTCTCGAGGTCCACCCAGTATCCTTCCAATCCAGCCAATCAGATCTCGCCGTTCTGACGTCATCTCCACCTCCGCGAAAGAGGTAGACGAAGTGCCGCCCCTCATAGATGCTCCTCAGCCGGTTTTGATTGCCGTATGCGTGTTTGAATTAGCGTACCGTATACAACACGTGCTTCAACGGCGTTTTTATTTCTTCTTAGGTCCGAGATGAAAGCAGCTACCTTATCGTTGCCCTTGGTGGCGGCTCTGTGTTTCCCGCTTATCGGCGGCGTGCGTATTGACACGACGGACGGAGGATACCGCGACGTTGTCGTAGCCATACACCCATCCGTGACACCGGACGAGAACATCATCGTCAACATCAAGGTGAACCCACAGACTCCACACCGTACACAATAAGGGGAGGAACACAGAGAGAGGAGAGTATGAGAGGTGCGCGGGGTGGTCAGAGTACCGAGCTTTGATTAGAAGGAGAGTGGGTAGGCCAAGACGAGCTGCCCTCGTTTTTAATCGCGGTTTGAGCGCGTTCGAACGCCGAACGCCTACGTCCGGTGTTCAAACGCGAGTCACTGCGCGAGGAGCAGACGATGCTCTTCTTTGCTCTGACTGGTGGGAGACAGTGGATGGAGGCAAAGGGCGTCTAGCCTTTCCGTCTACCCTCTAATCCTTCCAATCGGTGCTTGGAGCTGTGACGTCCCCCTTGCGCTTTCATCTCCTCCTCTCCCTCAGTTTCTCCCCGTATACAATCACGGTTCCTGCATCTGGTTGATCCCTTTCCTTTTCACATGTTGATACCCTTCCATCCCAAGTTTTCGCTCTGCCACTTGCCTTGTAGTATTCCTTACTATTTGATATATATATATATATATATATATATATATATATATATAAGGGATATTCTGGCGTTTACTGGCGGTTGAGAAATTCGGGAAACGGAAAGAAATAGAATTGGTTTACCTATTCTTCACTTCATTTAGCCCAAACAAGCGCCGCAGTAACGCATAATATTATTTTAGAGCGCAGCTCTTAGGTGCCCGTTTCCAGCTTGAGCGGCGTCGCCGTCGGCGTCAGCGTAACCGCGCGCTGCATTATGGGAGGTTCTCGTAATGGCGTCATGAGGGTTACCCTTGTGAGGGTTACGAGGGTTGCCAGGGTTACTCTCACGACGGTTACGAGGGTTACCCTCACGAGGGTTACTAGGGTTATCCTCACGAGGGTCACGAGGGTTACCCTCACGAGGTTCACGGAACTGCCGTCGGGAGGGTCACGAGGATTACCCTCACGAGGTCCACAAGGGGTACCCTCGCGAGGGTTTTGAGGGTTGCTCTCAATAGAGTAACGAAAGTTACCCTCCTGACATCACATGTGACGTCACGTGTGACGTCACGAGGGTAAAATTTTTCTACTATATTTACGGAAAAATTTCTCCGTTAAATTTAGCGGGTAAAAAAGCGGGAATACCCTCCCCTCCGTACCATCCCCTCCTCCTCCTCAAGAGCTGCGCTCTAATTGGGCGTTACAGAAAATTGTAAACTTCTTTAATTTTTTAGTGTACACCTTTGAGCGATATGAAGGTGAACAGCCCTCTTGTTGTTTTGGACACTCCTGCAAGTTTTGGAACAAGCTCTGTTCCAGAAGAGGGCTAGAACGCAAAGCTTAGAGCCCAAGCCACGTACCATTTGAGACCTTGAGAGTTCATATAGCTTTAGGGAGCCGTAAAACAGGCAAGAAACCAGGTATGGTGTTCACCTTCATATTGCCGGCGGGCAGGCACGTAGCCAGGATTTTGTTTCGGGGAGGTCGGAGGGGGGGGGGGGGCCGCCCATGACAAAATGCTGTACGAGGGGGAGGGGAGGGGAGGAGGTCAAAGCAAAATGGAAGATTTCGGGGGGGGGGGGGGGGTTGGGTGCAGGCCTGCCGGCGGGTGTACATGCCTGCCGGCGGGTGTACGTGCCTGCCGGCGGGTGTACATGCAAAGTATAGAGATAAAGTAGTTTTTGAGTTTTCTTGATTTTCTCAGATGTACCAATCTTTTACAGTTCTAGCGAAAGCTTCCACCAACTTATGAAATCTCTGTAGTAAATCCCAGCGCGACAAGTTAAGAAACCGAGTTATGGGGTCAGCTTAAACTGCGTTCAATTCATTTCGCTATAGCCTCCTCTATACTGAGAAAGCCTGGCACGTCGACGACGAAGCCATAGGGCGCGCGGCCGCAGGAATAATTGCGGTGGCTTAGCTCGGCTATGCCAGGATATACGTAGCGTGAGCTTATGCGCACGAAATGAGAGGTGCTATCAAGCGGCTCCGGTGCAGCGTCAGACTTGGCTACTGCGCAACGGCGGCGCACAGCTGGGCACGCGGCGGCGCCAGTGCGTTAGCCGCGGCTATGGCGTCACTCCTCTGGAATGCGCAGACCGGCGAGGCGCGCGTGGCGGCGTCGGAGAGCGCGGCGGCGGCGGCGCCGGCGCGCCAGCTGTGCGCCGTGTGACGTCACTGCTCCTCGCGCCTGCGCAGCACGGCTCTTTGGGAGCCACGCGAAACTGCTCAACCTTGACCAGTGTAGCTCACGCTACAAAAGAAGAAGAGGAGCGCGCGGAACGGTGACCAATATGGTAGCGCAGAGCAGAAAGGGCAGGGATAGTGTGCGAGCGCTTGGGTCATGTTTGGCCGCTCCCCGAACCACGTTTGTTTTCGTGCTTTCGTCGCCGTCGTTTTCGTACTCCGGGAGAAACTGTTGCGGCGATTTGAAAGGGCTCTGGCAGCAATGCACGATACCGGTGGCGTCGGCGGAGTTGTCGGCGTGCCAGCGGAGTGCGTCGTCGTCGGACCATCGTATCGTGCCGCGGAAGAACCATGCAGTTTTGACTAAACTAAACCGACGGCCGCGACCGTCGGTTTCGCTTTCAAGAACCGTTTCGCAGATCCGGGCGCAGGCAGAAAAGGGAAAGGGTTGACACTGAGCTTCTCCTGTCCACAATACCGAAAAGAAAAGAGAAAAAAAAAAGTGTTTCTCCGTTTGGCCGCTCGCTCTTGTGTGGCGCCAGCAGGCAATCTTCCCTCCGCTCCCGTTTCCCCGCCCCTCCTGTCCCATTTTCGGCGGCCGTCTTTTCTCGCGACGCGCCAGGCTTTCTCCGTATTAGCCCCGAGAGCGAACACAAGCGTCGCTGCGGTCGCAGCGCCCTGATTGGGTGAGGTGTACCGTGACGTCAGGGGGAGGACTCCGCTCCGCGACCTCGCATCGGCTCGCTTCCCAGCACTGGTTTCCTGGTTTGGCGTTGTGTCCCGGAAGCTCTTCAAGGAGCTGGACTTCGTGTACCCGGTGTACAAGTCGTTGAGTTAGGCCGATATTGACGTGCTTCCGTACAGTTTATAAGCCTGCTTGCCTCTTTTACCTTTAAAATTGGGTTACAAATCCCGTAAGCTATCGGAGGAGGCAATTCCGCCGATGAAACTCCCCTTCCGTCCACACGACACAAGGCAATCTTGCGAACAGTCGGTGAAGCGGTGGCGCAAGTGTTTGAGACGCTGGAATTCTGTTACTTTCCTGTTCATGATTTAGGATGATATTACATCCCGTTTTCAAGGCATTTGAAGTGGCATTTATACCAAGGGCCTTTGGGTGGTCGGCAAATTAGCTCGCGACCCTGACTCTGCGCTTCCACTCTGCATGCGCTGGTTCGCAGATGTTTTAAAGACCCTGCGTCTGATGATCTTTGAAGTGCTCGTGGAACAGGGCTGTTTTACATAAATGTAGCTTCTTCGTGAATAATTTATATAGTTTATACACGTATGCAGGCATATTTCTTAAAGATGCAGCATTACTGAATATTAGTTTGTATGGTAGCAGCAAAAACGGCGGAATTGCCCCCAGTTGCCTGTATCATATGTATTGAACTGCCCAAAATATGCACAGCAATGGTGCCGTAATATGGAATGTTTATAGTTCTTCCTGACATTCTTTATTCCAGCCTTGGGTATTAAAAAAAAATACACCGTTTAGTCTGAATTTTCATTTCAAATTAAAAGAGGCTGCTGCAGGTCCCCAAAAGCTTCCTCAGCCTCCAAACTCCCTACAGCTGGACTCTCTGACAACACAGGAAAACAGGAGTAAAAGCAAGCATTCTAACGTCTGTCCAACGGTAGATGCAGCACTAGTAGCAGAAAATGTGGAACCTGTGAAGGGCGACAGTCTGCGTGAGAAAAGCTTCTGGTATTTTAGCTTCAGGGCAATTTGATTTAAGTAAAGTCTCAATTTTCGGGCTTAAGGGACTAATAATGAGCTAGACATCTTCGCCTACGTTTGTTATACATATCTTGAGGGTTGATATAAACAAGTCCACAAATACCACCCGTGTAGTCCTTTGAAATACCATCCGAATCCAGCAAAGGTGAAATGCGAGCAATGTATATAAAAATGTTCCTTGTTTTTTTACTTTGCTCCTGCACTTGGGCTGTCTTACTTGTGATTCTCTCCCCATGGCCCAGACTGTATTTAGCATGTTGCTCGAGGAGCATGCAGCTTTTCTGCTTCGGCGATCTTGTTTAAAAGCAGAGATAAAAAAAAATAGTATACATAACCTGCCAATTCATTCAGACCATCAACAGCATTTATGTGCGAGATGTAAATCTCTAATGATGCTCATGCAATTGTGGCCATATTTCTTTATTTTCATATACCAGCTGCGATTCATGCGTTGCCTGCCCTGTCAAGCATGCTTAAAATGTTGGTTGAAGTTTCGGCTGTAGCTACAGGCCATACCTCAATAAAGGCACATATAAAAATTTACACTTCCTACGAAAAACACGCAAAAAAAAAAATAGAAACGAACGCGCCGACAGCTAGCGTCGTCACAGCCTCCACAGGCCGAGCGGGGCGAGTCGGGGAAAAATTCTCTCCTCGCCGTGACGTCACCCCCGGTTCGCCGTAAGGGGGAAGGGGGGGGGGGGGGGGGCACCACGCGAACTTCTCGGGGCTAAAGCGCGAAACACATGTACGACGAAACCTTCCGATCCGACGTGCGGACTGCCGGAATGACCTTGAGGGGAAAGGGTTTTCGTAGCATCGGAGAGCGTTGAAAACCCTCGCCTCCGACCGTCGTATTGCGCGGTCGGACGTCGGATCGGACGGTTTCGTCGTACATGTGTTTCGCGCTTAATAGAGGAGGCTATGATTTCGCCCACGCTGAACAACCGACTGAGATAAGAGTAGGAAGACCCGTTTTTAAGCCTCTTCAGACGGTTTTCCACCAGCTCCGCTGCTTCGCATCCGGTCGTAAGAGGCTTAAAAACCGGTCTTGTCTGCTTCGGTCATACTTGGTTGCACGTGTGTGAACGGGCCCTAAAGTCCCGTTCACACACTTGCGTTTGACGACGACCGAGTCAGAAAAGACCGGTTTTTAAATCTTTTGTGACGGCTAACGACAGAATGCATCGTAAGAGGCTTAAAGGGAAGCTACGGAGCTTCTTGGAAAAAATGAGTTAGATGTGAATTTTTGTGCATTTTTACCCCGTGAACCCGAATACCCAAAAACTTTTCTGCGTAAGTATTGTTAAACGCGAGAAAAACGCGAAAGACTGTCGCTGTCCGTGACGTCATCGACGGCTCTTTTGGCTGCCCAAGGCTAGGGAGGCGGGGCTTCAGTCCTATTTTGAAATTGCTCTTGTGGCTCTCCGGCGCGTCGCATTGAAATATAATATTGATATCTGTTATTCTAAAGGCCAAATGAACGCAATTCAAGCGTTTTTTCTCAAATGTAGAAGTGCCCCATCTTCCCTTTAAAGGGGCACGACACCTCAACGCGCAAAACAATTTTCACACACAAAACAATTTTGGTTGACTTCTTCTTACCCCCCTTTGCTTCTTTTTATTTGTGACGCAATTGATTATGAAATTTAGAAGACTAGTAAGCGACGCTTGTATATTATTTAATAACGGCATCCGTAAAGCCTGTTTTTTAACGAAATAGCGAACACACTATTCCGCCTTCTTTTGAAATATTGAAATCCGGAGTTCGGAATTGATGTCGGCTTCTGACGTTTTATTCTCCCTTGGAAAACATGGCGGCGCTCGGTACATGTAGCAGTGAGGATGATCGGGGAGTCGGGAAATCGGGCGAGGTTCTCTTTTCGGAGCCCGACGACCTCTCAAACTTCGAAAAGAAAATCGTCAAGCGGTCAAAACAACCGAGTTTGGTGTCTGTGTACCGTCGATTCGGTTGTGGCACCGCCGGGGCAGCCTTTCACGCAGCACCTCACGTCGCTCACAAAAATTCATATCGCGTCCTCTTCGACCTCGCATAGTCTCAAAGAATTTGAGATCGTCGAAAGGGCCCTAAAAGAACTTCACAAACTAAAATTTTCAGGATAGTGTCCTTTTTATATCACTTCAAATAAAAAAAAAATATATATATATATATATATTTGTTTCTGTCAGTGCCACTTAAGGGGAACCCCCTAGGAGGGTCAACTTTTGAACACTTGGCTTAAAATTATTGAAATTTACAGGGTAGGTCATGCTAGAGGAGGCATAACAAAATTTCAGGTCTGTCGGTTAAATGGCAAGGAAATTAGACCAGCTTCTATCAGCAACACGCCTACAATGATTAGTTAATCTTTCGTCGAAAAACTATCACAATATTCGAGATCTTTATTTGCTAGATATGTAGCAAAATGCCTAGATGGTGCGGCTATGGAAAGGTTTTTGTAAAAAGTCTTTTATTTTTATAAAGTTTTTCTTCTGCGAAATTGGTAAAGCTTTTGGTCTTCTGTGCCTTCGACAAAATGTCAACATTTTTTATAAAAGACATCCGTAAAGTGACAGAAAAGTTCCATAGCCGCACTCCTTATTAAATTCCAGTCAGGAAAAGGGAAGGATGGGTTTTCCCTGTTTTGCATTATCAAACGATAGATTGACTAAAATGGAATTTCTACCAAAAAGTGGAACGGAGAAAAATGCATTAAAAGTGCTCAAACCCTACCTTTTCTTTAGCTTCGGTGGATAGAAAATAATTTATAAAAAATTAATTATGCAGTGTAAACTAATTAAACTTTCTGGGAATACTCTCTAGATGTTGGTGGATGTAAATATATCATTTTTCCAAATCAACATTTTTTGCAGGATTTTTTTTTTCTGGGCAGTGTAGCCCCTCAAAGGGATACTGAACCTAAATTTGGATTTCGCAAAATAAGGCTGCAGAAGTGTTGAAGGGGACGCTACAAACCCCAAAACATCACTCGCACATCGATATCTCAAACGGATGGCCGTACTTTTGGAAAAGAAGGGCGCGATCAAGCGAGGTCTTTGACGTAACTGTCTCCGGGAGAATTTCAGAATGAGGAGAAGCGGCCTCGCTTCTCTTTTCCTCGCTTCGGTTCACCAGCTCGACGGGACGTAGCGAGGAGGAGAGAGGATGGGAATCGTGACGGGCCTTGTTTCGTCGGTCTCGTCGGCCGGGTTCAATCGCGCACTTTTTTCCCAAAAAATACGGCGATCCGTTAGATATATCGCCGTATGAGTGATATTTCTTGGTTTTGCAGCTTCCCGCCTATCTGCCCGGCCTTATTTAGTGAGCTCGAAATTTCGGTTCAGTATCCCTTTAAGGCGCGTTCCCACACTTGCAACCGAATAGGACCGACCGAGACAAGACCGGTTTTTAAGCCTCTTGCGACTGTTTGGGACCGGATGCACTGCTACGGAGCAGGTTCTAAGCCTCGCAACAGCCTTAAACACCGGTCTTGTCTCGGCCGGTCCTACTCGGTTGCAAGTGTGTGAACAGGCCTTTACACAATTCGATGCAGCACCGCGTCTAAAATACCAGTTGAGTGCATAGCAGAAACTTGGAGACGCTCCACCCGCAGTGGAGGCATGAGACGCTTTGTATGACATACTGACTTTGGCTAGATAGGCATGAAACAAGCTTGACTTTCTAGATGCGACAAGAAAGCCTCTGGTTGCGAACTTTTCCAATAATCTCCGTCTGCGCTCGTAGCCATCGTTGGATCTTGGGCATATGGAACAGGTTCCCTGCTCGCGTAGTAGCTCTCTTCTGCGGGCTAGCAGATGCTTGCATGCGTCCTGAGTCCTGTGGCCTTATACTTTTCGCCTGAACGGATCGTTTAAGAAGTGTATAGTAAGTAGCACTCTTATCCAACTTTTTTTTTCCGCTCGAAATATTTGTTGCAATGCAGGCGCTGTTCCGGGAAGCTTCCTTGTTCCTACACCGAGCGACGCGGGGTCGGGTCTTCTTCAAGGACGTCACCATCGCCGTGCCGTCCACCTGGCCCCGGAGAGAGGAAGCAGAGGCCACGGCCAGCAATCTGTTCGACGGTGCCGACCTACGCGTGGCTGAGCCGAACCCGGAGTACGGAGACACGCCGTACACGCTCCAGCCAAGAGGATGCGGGGAAGTCGGAGAATACATCCACATCACGCCGGCTTTCCTCAGCGGCTTGAACGGGACCACTTCGAAGACATACGGCAGCCCGGGTATGCGCTTTTAAATATTGTAAACTTTTTTTATTTAAACCACTCTCCCCTCCCCCTATCCCTGCCCCAATTAAAAATTCCGGTCGTCATTCTGAAACGCAGATGCTTGGGACGGTAAGGTACACTACACAACACTGTTAGCGCGAACACGTCATCAGTGTTATTATTTTTTTTTAATGCGGTAGCACCTTTTAGTTACCCCCCCCCCCCCCTCTTCCCTGATTTCGTAGACCTTTCTGGCCTTCTAATGCCTCCTAATTGGCGTTACGTGATCTATGCGTCAATTCAGTTTCGTCGTTAAATTTGGGGGGAAACTTGACGTCACGTGACCGGAGGCAACGGGGTCTAAAGACAAATGCAGGTTCCCTGCTAAATTTAGCGGAACCATTGACGTCACGTAAGCTAGGCATTAGGGAGTTGTAGTAGATCGTTCTTCTCCTCTGCTACGGTATCCCCGAAGAAAACGCCGCAGCTGCGCATGCGCGCCGCCAGCCTTCTCTGCATAGCTCAAGGTCTTGTGGCGGATTACGGAGCCCTATCCAGGTGCTTAGCGGGCTGCGGAAACGGTCTACCACAATTCCCTAATAATTCAGTTTCCCCGCTAATTTCGGTATTCACGCTAAATTCCTATTCACAATGAGCTGCGCCGTGAGTCTCATGACGAATTCTATCGCAGCTCATAAACAACCAAGAATAGTGGTTTCTGCAGCTGATTTTCGTATCTTGCTTCGAAGAGGTATTGGCGGGCACTACATCTTACCGCTTGGGATAGTTCCCTAAAGCCGCGGCCAGCCCTCTAACGCATGATACAAAGGACAGTCTCTAGACGCTGTTCGAGGCGTGTTTATTTCATTGTACGACGGCTCTGTACAACGTTGTTCCTACAATAACTGATTGGAGTCACTTTCGCATGGGTGCAGATACTTCTGCCAACATGTCGGGAGAAAAGAGGGTGACTTTTGTATGATGCATGAACAGTATACGGCTCAATAAAGCCCTCTTCATCACAATAGTGGTTTTTAAGACGGCCTTTCAATTCTAAAAATAAATGCAGAAAAAAAAAGCCGGCGATCGCTTGTTTGCGCTACCAATGTCGCGAAGCGTACGTGCGTCGTAACACCCCCCCCCCCCCCCCCCCCCCCCCCTTATTTCGCGCGCATACGTGGGTTGAGGGACGAGGTGCCCACTGCTTGCGCCAGTCTTCACAATGCCTCGCAAGAGGAAGGAGCCAACTGAAGAAGCGGCAGCAGAACAGAATTGGTGTGCTAACTAGCTCGCCAATTCATATCCTTTGTATTACTTACTTCAAGGTCTTGATATTCCGGATTGACGTTATATAGATCGGTATGGCCTAGGTTAGTACGCTGGATCTTTGCAGCAGCGAGCCTTACTTTCGTTAAGTCGGTTCCAGCTGTGCATCGACGAGAGAAGCGATGGTGGACTGAGGCTAGTAAAAGAAAAGGGCACACGGCGATTCATAGTTTAGAACACGGCAGTGTATAGTAGCTTACCATAGAGTTAATATAATAATCTGGAGTGAAAGTTCCCGTACTTCGGACCGTACCGGAAGGGCGCGGCGCAGCCGCAGGCATCGATGGTTGCACTGGCTGGTCCTGATCGATTGGTGTCTATCGGTGGCGACGCCTTAGTATACACTAAGGAGCAGTAAAACATCCCCCGTAAGGTTTTACCCAGATAGTTTTTAGCTTTACTTTGCAAAACGAAACAAAATACACCGGCATTGCGTATTACAAAAAAAAAAAAAAGAAAACGAAATACATAAAGTCGACAAGCACTCGCACAACTTGAGCTCGTCGCGGCAAAACGAACCCGCGTAACCTTTGGTCTGTAGTGTATTTTTTTCCCCACTTTTGTGTGGCTCTCTTTCTCGTTCTTTATATCGGGAACGCCGATATCAGCGCCCTGTATCTGCGAGCGTTCTGCTTTCGCTTTTACCCCAACTCTCAGTGACAGCCCCAAGGAAGACCAGGAAAACCTTGAGCAACTTCAGCGCTTTATCCTGCACCTTGAGCAACAACAGAACCTGAATCTGCGGGCTTTCAAACAGTCGTATCTTTCTGATAAGGTGTTTTCCAGTTTCGATGCCAGTGTTGCAGGTGCAATAGTAATTTTCTCTTTCATTTCGCAAAGTGACGAAAGGGATCTAGAATTGCCGCGTCCACGAAAGAAACGGGTAATAAGCTTCGTGCTTAACGACCGTTTGTTATCTTTTTTGGATATTCTCCTGACGAGCGCATGTGTTTGGAATACTTGTGGTGCTTAGTGAGCAGGTTTAACATGGGTAGAATGTCACGATGCGTACCAGGTATTTGCGGTTTTCTAAACCGTTTTCTTCGTTAGGGATTTGGAAACCGACCCACCTCTTTTTAATTGTTTATTATATGTACCTTATCTCCTCATCATTTCCACAGTTCTACTAGGATAAGGCTAACTTTGGATGAAGTCTTTTAAATGAGGGTACTGATAAATGACTCATATGTTTTGATTTTTTTTTTGTTTCGCTGAACACCTCCATTTTCAAACGATGTGATAAACGAAACATAATTTAAGCTAAAATAACCTGACACTTTGCGTAAAATAAAAAAAAAAAAATGGAAGAAAGGCCGCTCTCACGCTAAAGTCACCCAATATCGTTTACATTTTTTGTAACCTGATCGCAAAAGCATCTTCTGTTCAAGGTACATACTCTGCGACAGGTGCTATTAGCGCGAAAAAGTCATCAGTGCTTTTTTTCTGTTTCTTTCTCAGTTTTAATGAACGGTCGTCAAAAGTACTATAGTGGTGGAAAGTGCTCGGATAGGGTAAATTTTGATGCTTGCCAGTACCCTTTCGAAGTAAAATACAAAAATGCGTCCAAATCGCGTTCGCGCTAAAAGTGCCGCGCAGTGTACATGATTGCCCATCTCTGTTCTAGAACCAAAACAAGAAAAACACAGAGAAAGCTCGGAATGGGGCCCTAATTACTGCATCGACCTTTTTTGTTGTTTTATCATCATATGTTGAACACAAGACTCAAAGTGCTAGAAAAACATTCGCAACTGCAGCACCGGGAAGCAGCCATATTTTTTTTAGGATGAGGAGGGGTTTTGTACGCTTTATTATCCTATAACAAGCCACCAGTAAAAACATTTGAGGAGACCAAAGTACATAGAGGGCTACCAATAAGTGGAATAAGAATGACGAACACGAGTGCCACTTGTGTTGTTTTCACCTTTCTTTCTTATATTTATATTTATTCATTTGCATATGGGGCCCAATTATTTTATTATTTGAGAAGGGGAGGGGAGGGGGGGGGGGGGAGCCTACAGGCAATACAACAAAAAAAAAAACAAAAAAAACGAGGAGACAAACTATACACTGTGTTTATTATAAGAGCAAAACTTTTATTAAAAAAAAACTGCAGTATATAGCATTTTGTGATATAGTAAACAAGAATAAGACAGGCACCAAAAATAAAACATACAAAATTCATGTTAGCCAAGGAATAATTATGCTACCTGAACGCTTTGTATTGCAGTAAGAACTGAGGCAGAAGGTGCAGTGACAATTTTACAATATTTTTGTATATTCGTGTTGTATTCGCCTAAATATTTTTAACCTGCATTTAAATTCGCGCACTCTTTTGGTGCGAAGCTTGTCACTATATTCATTCAGATAAAGAAGCATCGATTTAAGCGCTTATTGGTTTTGTAACTACCTTTACAAATGTTTTTATGGACCAATGAATGTGTGAGATGCAGGAGAAACATGCAGTATACGAAAAAAAACTTTGCTGTTTGCAGTTGAGGGCTCACATTTGAAGACTTTTCATGGTCCTCCCTTGCTTTTGGGTTTCAAATGCTTATTTATCGGAGCGTAGAACTTTTCCACTTTTCTGTATTGAAGTTTTGCTGTCTTTTTAATATTGTTTAGCAATGACATCTTAAAATTCGTTGCAGCCTTCCAGCTGGTCCACGAATGGGCTCACTACAGGTACGGTGTCTTCGACGAATACGGCGCGGCTGGGGACTACCGGTACCCGAGCCTCTACTGCGAGTTTGGAATGGTACGCAAAGCCTGATGCGTCTTCCCGTCATGACGCACTACACATTTTACACATAAAGACGATCGCGAGCGGCGAAACCTCCAACTGCGATCGGCATCCAGAAGGGTAGTTGTACTACCCCTCTTACCTTGTCCGCGACTCCTCATGTGTCATGCGAAAGGTAGGAAAGGTAGCGCAACTTCCCCTTCGGACGCCAATCATAGTTCGAGGCTTCGCCGCTGAGTGAGAAGGGCCTGGACGTGCGCAGAACTCTTCAGTTGAGTTGAGCTTACTTACTGCTGCCCAAAACGAAGCAGAGACATATATTGCGGGATAGTAAAACATAAAAACAAAGGAGTGTAACAGCTGGTGTGTACGTGCGGGTGATGCAAATAAAAATAGAATTGACATACACAATAGTGGCGTACCATGTTCCCTAAGGGCAGCTCCATACTTTAAGGAATGAAGACGCTATAAGAACCGAAACATTACGTCTATTTATATCAGTCGCATCTACCCTCTCTTACAACGAGTGTCATTGGTTCAGTTTGAGATGTCGTTGATGGAGTGGAAAGGAGGTGTGTCGACCTTTGGAGAGGAGGGTTGTTGTGTATATATAAGAGCGGAGGTGTTCAAATAAACTAGAAGCTGTGTTTGAGACTTGTTGTTGTTTTGTCCGTTTTTTTATTTTTCCGTGTCTCCGGTTTACGATGGAAGTTCTTCACCAGCTCGCCTGTGCTTTTACCCTTTCTTCGTTTACAACGAGTATTTCTTTCTGCATCGTGCAAATAAATTTCTTTCGTGTTGTACTATTTTCTTGTGTGTGTTTTTGAGTTCGTCTGCTCTAGGGGTGCCAGGACCTCGGTCAAGCCACTCATGCCACATTTTGTCCTCGTCCTCCGTTTTAAGATATGAAAAAAAAAAAAATGTCGTTATTACGATTGTTGATCAAACAGGAATTTTATACGCTATGGCTGAACAGAAACTTATTGCTCTTTGACCAGGTTCGGGCCAACGCCTGCTCGGTCCGCATGCGGTTCACGGCTTCCACTAAGAACGGCGAGCCTTGCCGCGTGTACCGGGGCTGCAAAGTGTCGACCAAGTGCAACGCAAAGTTCTACCAGAACACCAGGGACCCAGTGGAATCTTCCATCATGTTCATGCCCTACATTGCTGGTGTAAGCCTGGCGAATATTTTTTTTTCCTTAGGGCGATAGCCTTTACTAAGCTGTTTTAGTAGATTGTTAACTGATGACCCCGATAACTATACCCGGTTGTGATGGAAAGATGGTGAATAAAGGACAAAGAACCCGAGGACGGCGAGTGAAAGAAAGAGAGGTGTATTATGTACAGAAGAAAAAACGAAAATAGATGACGTAGTCTCACTCGAGTCAGGCACCGCACCTTCACGTCGTCGTCGGCGGCGGCCACGGGTGCTGCCTTCTGGGTCGGTTTGGGGAATGGTCGCTTTCCGGCGTAGGCGGCGGTCCCCTTGGCCAGGGCTAGCTCTCACGGGCCTCTAGCCGCCCGTCCAGAACCAGTCGTTGCTGCCGTCGGGACCGCGGGAGCCCACCGATGTCTTTTTTAGCATCGCAGTCGCCGACCTGCCTTCAGGAGCCCCCTTTTTCACGCGCACCACACTGCCCGGCCCCACTTCGTCTTCCTTTCTTCTCGCTTCTATAGTCCACCTCATCACACCGGTATTCCGCCGACATTATCGGGCATCGTTATCGGAGGTATCGTGTAACGATCCGTCAAAGCTCCCCTATTTGGTGATGTTTTGCGGCGGTTCCCGGGGGTCTGTGTTTGTGTGTAGATAGCGCCTGCTAAATTTCGCTGAAAAATATACACGGCATATTTGGTGGGGAATGTGGCGACCTCACAATTTCACCTTTAAATAGAACGAAACAGTGTCCCCTAAAGCAAGACATCACGTGACGTCAGTAGACGATGTTACATCGTTCGTTGAATTTAAAGGGAAGCTGAAACACGTCTTTAATAAAAACAAGAAAAATCTAAGACAGAGGTTGATTCTAGCGTGGTTTTATACCGTGAATCTGAATATGATGTTCGTTTTCGCCGAACTTGTAACTAAACACGAGAAAATACGGAAACCTCCTACCAGTCGTTACGTCATAAGAGGATCTCTCGGCCGCCATGTGCGTGTCGGTCGAGGGCCGCACGTACAATAGGCCTATTGCTAAATTAAGCAGGCACCAAGGAGAATGCAGGGATTGGTATTCCACGCGCCACACGGGCAAGCCTCAGCAGTAGTAACTTTTCTAAAGCATATGCCTAAACCAAATTGCATCATGGAAGCGCGTTCGTGAATGATTTATTTTGGTTATATACTTCGAATATTTTATACGGGGAAGGCGTGCGCGTCTGGTGCGTGGAACACCAATCCCTGCATTTTCCTTGACAGTCGGGAAATTTAGCAAGAGGTCTATTGCGAGTCTGTCAGGTATATTCCCCCTCGCTGGCACCAGACGTGGCGTATTTTTCTGTCCTTTTTAAAAATAGCAAGAGTGCGCGTGCATAGCATTTATAAAAAAAACATTGAGTGTGCAGGCGAGCTGGTGGATGTTGATCATGGTGTAGGATACCCGAGACTGTGGTAAAAGCTGGGAAATTAGGTCGAAGTTATACAGGTTTGGTCGAAGTTATACAAGTTTTCCAGCTTTTACCACAGTCTCGGGTATTCTGCACCATGATAGCTTTTATGTGCGCTGAAGATGCGCGAGATCGGGCATTGCGGAAACTCATTTTATGGCGTCACGCTCCGGGAAGGAGCGCCTTCAGCGGTACTTTAAAAAATATTTTCTGCAGCCCCCATGCACCAAACTGAAAAAAAAAAGAAATCGATATTTGAGATTTTGAAAATTAAATGAAGACGATATGTGTGTTTCCTTAAATGTAAAAACCGCTTCAGCCTCCCTTTAAAGGGGCATATGAGCGATAAATTTAAACGGAGATGTGTACCAGTGTATCGCGGTCTGTGCAACGCCTCGGCTATGGGCAAAGCTCATTCTGCAGAACACAGGAAGTAACCGCCACGTGTTGTGCTTCAAAATCGCTCTGATTTTGAAGCCCATAGCGATCTGCTGTTTTCTTGAAATGAAGGGCTCAATGTCTTTCCTTGGTATTATGAAGCAAACATAGCATTATTAAAAATTCTTCTTCTTATTCAGATACAACCAGAAGAAAAGCGAATGGAGCAGGCAACCTGAGTTATCAAACGTTGGAGTGGTTGTATGATTTGGAATTGTTTCTGTCAATATCCTAGGTCAAGTTCATATCAACATTAGAGGTTTCTCGCTTACTCACAGTGACATGTTACTCATAGTTCCTCCAGTAAAAATACATTACCTAAATTAAACATGTTATCATCCTACAATCGTCTTTGAAGCGCCGTAGGCCAAAGGAGATAAGTAAGCGAGCAAATTAGCCTTTTACTTTCTTTTGAATTCATTTCGCGCTTTAGCGCTTCTCGTTTGTTATGGGCCAATACCCATAACTTCTTTCTGTATAACTCCATCAAAGCTCCGAGTTATCTCTCCAGATACATCGCGTTTCGAATTTTTTTTTCCTAGGTGTCCCAATTTTGCGACGACTCTAAACGGAAACACAATATCTTTGCCCCGAGCAAACAAAACCACATCTGCCAACGGAGGTCTACTTGGGATGTCATCAGTAACAACGCGGACTTTCAGAAGTAAGGCCCCAAAAACATTTTATCTTATCACAACGGTTCTCTGCAACCAATTCTAGCAGTTCCAGATTGGAGTCATGACGCCTGAAAGAGCCTTTCTTGCTCTAGTTCACTCGAAAACAATTATGTGATTGTGTCACGTTCCGAATTGCGCATGTTATCTGTGTTTCAAGTTAAAAAAAAAATCTGGACAAACATGTGTCCACAAATATCTCGTCTCTCTCACGCTCTACCAGAGCGAGGATTGGACAGGAGGAAATATGAGGGGAGGCGAAACTCGCGTCCTTTCCAGCGTTTGCTTCGCTGGAGTAAATATAGCGGAGAGTTTTCTCGGAGGAGCTTGCCCTGCTTCTCTTAACTTGCAACAGAGATTAGATTTATGGCTAGTTGTGTGTCAGTACAACATAGCGGTGACGCACTTTCACATACATTTTATCCTGGGCGCTATGTTTGTTGCAACTTGTAGCCTAGGTGACCCGGTAGCCGAAACTCAGGTCCAGGTGAAGTTTCAAGAGGTGCAGCAGAGAAACGACAGCCTGGGCAAAGTGGTCATGGCTCTGGATATTTCGGGGAGCATGAATGTAAGTGTGCCTTGAATTCATACGCATGTTACACAGTGCATTTGTACGTCAGTGACAGCGTACGTTTCCAGGGAAGGCTACGCCCATCCATTTTCCCCTTAGCACAGATAACGTTGGAGAGGAATTCGCTTTTTCCCCAGTGTTCCCTCTGCTAAAATGAAAAGGGATAGGAGGAGTTTCCCCTGAACTCGCCAGACTGTAGTGTCGGCGAGCGCGCTGAAGCGCTGAAAGTGTATTCCCGCCCCTCAGCAACGTGAGCAAGTTTGAATGAGTCCTGTCACGCTACAAATATAACGAAGGAAAACGAGGAAAATTTAATATAGTTTTTTGTTGCAGCAAGAATTTAAACTACGTGTCTTGGCTGCTGTTTACGTAGTGCGTATACTAGAGTCACTGAGAGGTTAATGAACGCAGGGCGTAACTCGCCGAAAATGAAATTATTGTTCTGCAGCCAATCAGAATGCGACGTCATGCGTTGAGAACACCGAAGAACCAGTGAGGAAGCAAGGCTCGTGATCACAATAGGCCACACTCTGCTTTTCTTCAGTTGGCAGTTACTATGGAATGCACACATGCAGAAAAGCCAGTTAGCAAGCATGCAGCCCGGGGGGGGGGGGAGTCCCATGGGCCCCCCCCCCCCTCCCTTCCGATATCTTCTATATTCCCCCTCATACAGCATTTTGGCATGGGCGCCCCCCTCCCCCCGAAACAAAATCCTGGCTACGTGCCTGCCGGTTAGCATTAATTTTTCATTTTTACCTTTCACTTCGATGATGTCCCCGCTTAGAATTACGAGCGACTGGTTCGTCTGAAGAGTGCGGCAACACACTTCGTCCGGGACGTCCTTCCGAACGACTTCCTACTCGGCATCGTGGTTTTCAGCTCTACGGCAACGGTGACTCAGAGACTGACAGCCGTGAATGACACCAGCCGTACTGACATGGCCAAAGCCATCGATGGTTTGGCTGCTGATGGGGCCACTTGCATCGGCTGCGCCCTGAAGCAAAGCGTCCAGGTAAGCTTGTGCATTTGCACTATACCCTGTGTGCAAAATATAAAAAAGTCACAAGACAAAAAAAGAAGAGAAATTAGTAAATGCTATGTTTATTTAATTTAAATCAGGTGTAACAGATGCGATCAAAAAGTTCACAGACTGATATTTTTGCGTAAATAGAGAGGCCAGCATGGTGATGGGCGCGCAAGTGTTTAAGTCGTGGTCCTTCGTTTTTTGTTATACCAAAGGACGTTATTCTGTGAACATTTGAATCTGCGCTACACGAGTTTCTGTTATGACGTGCACGATCACAACGGCCATTTCACCATGGACTGCAAAACCAAAACGAGAGCCAGAATCAATCCCTCATCAAACTCGGCAAATATAAAACGAAGACATTTGAAATAATTCAGGAGGCTTATGTAAAAACAGCAACAATTAATTGTGTGATGTGTTTTGAGCGGAACTCGCGGTTCAAGAATGGCAGAACATCGCTCGAAGACGAAGACCGAAGGGGCGACCTCCTCCCTTTGCCTTCCATGGATGTTCTGTCATTCTTTCAAGCGCCAGCGCCACTCCAAACACCTCTCACGTTCCACTGGATTTTAACATAAGCCTGCTGAATCATTTCAAAGGTCCCTCTTTTAGATTTGCCGAGTTTGACGTGGTATTGATATTCACTCTCCTTTTGGTTTGGAGTTTATAGTGGAATGGCCATTATGCTCGTGCACGTGGTCACAAAAACTCGTGTAGCGCAACTCCAAATGTTTAGTTAACGTTGGCATAATGAGTCACGAGGGTCCCTGCGTTTTGTTATGCACGCGAGAGAACGTCAAAACGTTAACTTGTATTTTTAGGTCACAGTAAACTATACAGCAAGCACGATCCCATGACGGCAAGCCCGGAAAGCGGTGAACCGTCCCCGGCACAGCATAAGCTTGACTTCATTTTCCGAATCCTTGGCATGGCGGCAGGTGGCGCTACCAGTTAGTTGCGAGAACTCAACACTTTTGACTGCTGCGCGCGCACCATCCTACTGTCCTTTTTTCTTTTCGATACAAAAGCAGTTTTGTAATTTTGTTATCGTTCGTCGTAGTTGATATCAATCAGGTTACTTTCATTTAAACCCCTGTAGCTGTAAAATATTGATTCGTTAGCAGAATATGTATTTTTTTTTTAACGTGGCGGATTGATTGATCAATTCGTCCGATCACTGATAACAATGCGGAAAAAAGAATTTCCGTGCATGTAAAGTTGAGCTCAATTAAGAACTTTTTTCTTTAATGTAATTCCCGCCATACTATAACAAAAACAGAAATAATACTTAAAAAAACAAGCGAGCTGGTGATGATTCATGGTAATAAAACCCGAGACTCAGGAACACAGAAGGGGACGAACACAACACGACGTCTCAATGCGTTGAGACGTCGTGTTGTGTTCGTCCCCTTCTGTGTTCCTGAGTCTCGGGTTTTATTACCATGAACAAAAACAGCTTCGTTTTTTTAGGTAGCAGAAGAGCTTTAATTTTCGTCTCGCGTTCTGACTTGATTGCAAAGGGACTTTACTTTTCTAGCTTTTTTTTTTTTTTTTGCGTTCTGATTTTGTTGTACTCGGAGGTTACGTAGAAGAACGCCTCCTTTTTCTCTTGTTCAGCCTTCTATAAGTATTCTTTGTGTGACTATTATTTCATTTGAATACGAAAGAAATATGCGCGTAGAAAGTATCCAATTATAGGCAAACAATGAAACACATATTTTCGGGATTATTTTTTTGTGGGAATGGTTTCATGTACATTATTTTAATAAAACGTGTCTCATTTAAATCGAGATTTATATCATATTGATTTTTATTCTACACCCTCCCCGTGCCACGTCAAAAGGGCGGCGCACACATCCATCCCAGCGCTGAGAGAGCACAAAGTCAAAACGTCATCATCGATACTTTTAGTGCTGACTCATCACTGAGTCTGCGCTGGATTTTTTTTTTTTAATCCGGGCCTTATGCAGCGGTGCGCGATGCAGCTGCTGATGTAGCGGTGTCAGTGTGTGTCGATAGTGCTGACTTGAACAGGCCTGGAAGTCCGGTTTACACATGAGGAACAGCGGTAAGCCAGCACTAAGAACAGCGCTGATACAGCCCTGACTTGAACGTAACTTACTGATGATCCAGCGCTGTATGACTAATATTGTGCATCAGCTCGATCATCGCTATCCCAGCGCTCTTCCTGAGCTGCATCAGCAGCATCAGCAGGCTCAGTGATAGCGCTGAGGTAGCGCTTTAATGCAAGTGTGCAGATGCGACGTAGCACAGCCGATGCTTTGAGCTATCCCAGCCGGAAATATTGCGCAGTGGGAGTGTGACGTGACATTGAGCTTTTTATTTGTCTGCGCCTAAGTGCAAGGGCACGTGACACTTTCTGTGCACCAGACTGGCTCCGATGATTTGCAGCGTCTGCTGTGGTGCATCAAAGGGTGAGACGGAGTTTTAAGTCCTTTAAATACAAGGCTTGAGAGGCCTTGTATTTAACGTCAAGTGCCTTGTATTATAAGGCACTTGACGTCGGTGCCTTGTAATACAAGGCACTGACGTGACACAATTTTCCATTGTGGTTTCCTTGCTGCTAAGTGCAGACCTTTTGTAGCTTATATTTTTCACCACTGAATTTATATTTCTCAGGAAAAGTAAGAGGAATGACCACTAGCCTGGTCCGATGACGTTACGTAAAAAGATATCTATTATTATAATGCAATTAAATGCAAAGGGGCAAGCGAGCTGGACAATAATGATGGAAAAAATCCCTGGAGAAGGGGAACAAGAGGGACAAGGGACAAACATAAATCCCCAAACACAGCTAGGTGACTGGTGAGCGACCGAAAAAATCCGCCTGGTCCGGCGGATTATATAATTATAACATCAAATTGCAAGGTTTCACCCTTGTTGGTGTTAGACTGGTGGCAGCTGATAAAACCCGTTTGCTCTACCGACGTCTAACCCCTGGTTAGCTCAGTTGGTAGAGCGCTCCACTTGTAATGGAGAGGTCCCGGGTTCGATACCCGGACCAGGCGGATTTTTTCGGTCGCTCACCAAACACCTAGCTGTGTTTGGAGATTCATGTTTGTCCCTTGTCCCTCTTGTTCCCCTTCTCCAGGGATTATTTCCATCAAGATATCTATATCAGACGGTTGCTAGAGCTGGAATTACCGTACAGTGGCATGCGGACGTGCGGCAATCAATTCGTGAAGTCCATAAATAATATATTTGTAATTTCCAAGTAATTGATTGAGGTTATAAAGGCGCATCATTTCAGTTGCTGACTTTTTCGCCAGATTCTCATGTTTTCGAAACATAAAAAAAACCAAAGAACATTTGAGTGTTTAAATGGGTCACGCGTGTCGAAAACTGATCATGAATGGAATTTCCGGTGGTTACTTAATATCGACCGCTATAGACGACTGAGCGCGTTGATAGAAGAGAGTAGAGTAATTTGTTTTTGCTTCGGTGCAATAACTTCAACACGAAACAATACTGAAAATACATGTTGGTCTTCCTTCTCTGCTCCATAGTCATGTTGATTTTTACCGAGCGCAGTCGGAGTGACGTAGCGATTTTATGAGATTCCTGAGCTATACTTGGGTGGTTTGCTCACCATGAGTACACATCGGCAAACGGTGGAGAGCTTGGCCGACACCACCTAGACAGAATACCTCCCCACACGTCATCACAGTCAGATTGATCGAAGCGTGGGATTGGGCACGAGTGCTTTGTCAGTGTTCGGCTGGGGCTCGTGTCCAATCACGGCGTCGGAAACCAGGCTCGGGCCCAATAGCCGAGTTTGCGCGATCCGACTCTGATGACGTTTCATAGAGGGAGAGGAGACCAGGCGGAGGCCTCCTCTCTTGGTGCTATTGGCTTGGCAAAGGTGGGAATAAAAGTATTCGTTTGCTCTTATTCTTAAAAATTAATGGCGAAAATAACGTTTATGGCAGCGTATTTCCGTGCTCTAGGTTTCGTTTTCCCAGTAAGCGATATGCAGCTATTTAAGCATTCGTGTTTTATATAGTATCATGGTCTTTTTAATTCATCCAAATAATATGCCTCGAGAAAGTGCGATACACTATACACTGTTTTGATAATCTAATCTTGATTTTGCTATAATGAAGCGTATACACCGACTCATGTTTACAAACAAACCGGAGCGCCCGGAGCGCCCCTAGCGGACACCACCGGCGCCGCGCATGCGCGATGGGGGTGCGGGCAAAAAGCTCGCCGTCGCGCATAAACAAACCATTGAAATGCGATGTTGTCGGCATCGGTGTGAGTCTCCCTGCCCTTTTTCGCGTTAGAATTGTTGGTTCTACGTCTTCTTGACGATGTCTGACTATCTCGAGCGGGTCAGCAAAATTACCGAGGCTCGTTACACCGCAAAACTTCGCGTGAATAATGTGACATGTGGCGATTCATTCCGCGTGGACGCCGGAGATAGTACTCTAAAGCCTGATTCGCATGATGAGATTTCGCTCGGAATTTCCAGTCGCGACGCCGCTCAGGCTGCAAAAGCGTGAACCGTAGCTGATATGGCAGACGAAGATACTGAAAATCGCAAGCAGAATCGGACCAACTGAATTAGGCATAACAAGTCGGTGTTGGTCACTGGTAACAATGCGCAACATCTCCTTGTATCTACTGTTTACATCGAGCCTGCTTACCAACCTTCAAATTTAAGTCTTTTGAGGCCTGCACTCACTTCTTATCGCAAGCACCGGGCCGACATTTGGTCTACGGACCGGCGTCGCCTAAAAGAGCAGACGACAAGCAGAAACGTTTGAAAGAGCAGACGACAATTCGAACAATCAGGCGGCCGTTTGAACTTAAAGACGCACTGAACGTAGTCCACAGGTGGTCCGCACGACTTGACAGTTTTCTGGCGTTCATGTTGGAATGAAGGAATAAATCTGATGACCACAAGTATCCGTAAATTCAACCCAAAATGCTTCCCGCCCAAGCAATCGTTGTCCGACGGCGTCTGCTTTTCCCTTTTCACGGCACATATCCAGATTCTCGGACGAACCGAGCACGTGAAAACTGACCTTCAAACCTTTCTCGACACTTTTGGTACGTCCCCAGTCGCGGCGTTTTGACGAGAAGGCAGGTTTTTGTCTGGTTCCTTTCAAAACAACGCAGGAATACACGTCTGGCATGGGGACTTCTGCCCACAGCCCCAGACCGGAAGTGCGACCGACGCGCCACCACCGCGCCGTGACGTCACAGAGATGAGTTTGTGTATACAATGCCTCCGGAAATGAGCATTTAAAAACTTTGAATAGCGGTTTGTTGCCGTCAGGTTTTCACAAGTCTTATCAAATGATTCCGTCTTTAGTACGGGGTGGCTCGCATCTTTCTTACAGTGACAGGAACGAAGATTGTCACCTGATTGAAAACCAGTGATGTAACGATGTCACGGACCTTAGTTATCGGAAAGGCGATGATGTAATTAAAGAGATGAAAAGCTCGCAGGATTGATGTGGAAATAATATGTTCACTTTTTCTGTTAGAAACTTCGGAGACGCTGTTATCATTGAAGGAACTTGCCTTGTTAAAAACTCGCGCGTGCATTTCTGAGGCTTAAGTAACCTAATAAATGCATTCTCCGTCTAAGGAATTATGCCGGACCTAATGCAGTTTAAATATAAGAGGTGAACTGCCGATACTCGCCTGCATGCCAGTTAGGAGCGGTCAAACAAAACACGACGTTTGTCAAGGCAGGTTAGAAAAAAAAATGTTACAAAATAATTTTTTAGAAGCTTTATAGTGGCGTTCAAGCAAGATAATTACCAGAAGCCATCGACACCTTAGGCAGGGAGGATTTTCCAGAAGCCATTGAAACCTTAAGCAGGGGTGATTTACCAGGGGCCATCAGAAACTTAAGCGGAGGAGGTATACAAGGAACCATCAGCATTTTAAGCGAGGGGAATAAATCGGAGCCATCAAAATCTTTAGCAAGATATATTCACCATAATCCATGAGCATCGTAAGCAGGAGAAACGTTCCAAGAGTCATCATTACCTAAAGGATTGAAGACTTGCCAGCTAGGAGCTACGACTGCCACTCTGAGGCTTCCAAGTGACCCATTATCAAAGAGTGCTTTGGGTTACGTCTTGACGCTCTAGCTTATAATCACTAAAAACTGGATCGGCGTACGGTTCATTCGACCGTCTACCTAGAACACAAAATTGTAATAAAAATACCATTCCACTGTTTATCAGAGGAGCAGCCTAGCGTGCTACGAAGAGAGTTAAACTACGTGAGCTTCCTACTTCGGCCATTTAAACCTGCACATTACCGTACCCGTGCATCGTTTTGTAATTTGATTGGTATTGACGTTGTTATCGGTCATCACTCAAGGTGCTGAAAGAAGGAGGCAGAACGGCGGAGGGTGACACCATCATTCTCATGACCGACGGAGGGGAAAACACGGATCCAAGAATAGCAGCCGTGCTGCCGGAGCTTCTGACCGAGAAAGTTGTGGTGAACACCCTGGCTCTGGGTACGAGCGCAGAAAAGAATCTCGAAAACCTCGCCCTGATGACGGGGGGAAAGGCGTTCTCGCTGAGCGACAGCCAGGCAAACATCGAGGCCGCCATGCAGTCGGCCTTCGTAGAGTCGACCACCACCCAGCTGGACGAAGCTGACCGTCCGATTACGGTCAGTAACTGCTGCGTCCTGTACTCCTGCAACACGTTTAAGATCGGGTCATCGGCATTGAATTATCGGTTAAGCCGCGGTCTAATTGCTTACACATCACACAAAAGACAGTGTGCAGACACCGTCTGAGACGTGTCTTAGACCTAGGCTAGGTGGCGCTAGCTACCGCTCGTCACAAAGGGCGTAGCCATCAACATCCATCCATCCTTTCTAGCATGACGGTCCTTCCGCATTGATCATACGAGAGCAGTCTTGAGACATTTACGAAGCATGCGTATGCATAAAGGAAACATGCTTCGAACACTGCTTGAGGCATGTCTGCAGATACGTCTGTCATCGTATGTCTGCATCGAACACCGTGTCTTTTGCATGATGTACAAGCTGCGTGGCTGCGGCTGAAGAGGTGTGCGAATAGTGGCTGGTATCGAATAGCATTTGCGTCATTGAAGGTTCTAACGCAGTAGGGAAAGGTACAGAGATTTATGACGTCCAGGAATAACCAAGTGACGTCGCCATTTGTTTTGATGAGAGTTCCACCTTCCGCCACATTATTGCACTCTTGGGCGGTCATCAACCCACGACCTCACTGCGCCACCAGTTTCAAAAGAGCATCGGGCCAGACCGTTGTTCGATGATGGACGGCTTAAGCCGTCTCCCTACATTTGTGCGCACTATAGACCCGTTGCTCTGGGGCAGGGGGCTCGAGCGCTTCCGTAAGACGCGACCATGTTATGATGGCTGAACCATCCAGGTGGCTCTGTAACGTTCGATTGTGCACGTGCCACGTTCGAATGCAAGCGTCTGAAGATGCGTAATAACAACACCTCTAAAAAAATAAAAATTAATAAAAGAAAGAAATATGCAGCTCGCGGCCGCAGCGTCCTATTAAACATTCCTTTCATCTTTGCTTTCTTTCATAGCTTCTGCGAGCACGTATGCTTCACTTTACGTGGTAGCGAAGCCGAAGCTACTCGCAAACGCACGTGCTCCTGAACGGTGCTCGCACTGCACGAGCGCGCGTGCTTGACACGGACGCTGAAAGCTCGCAGCTAGCTCTTGTAGCCTCTGCTACGCTGGCACTAAGAATGGAACGGAGTAGAAAAAAACTCTAGTGGAGAAGCGCATTGACGCATGTTTGAAACGCGAGCCAAATATTCTATTTTGCTCGCCTGGAGCGCTGCTCAAAACTTGAGAGCTACGGGCCTATTGGATTGGTTGCGAAATTGCCGCGACATGATGCAGCTCGTGTCTTGGATCTTTTGGGCTGAAGGTCCGCACTGTGATGAAGCTAGCGATGACACTGCGCTATTTTATTTGAGCCACTATTCACACGCCGACGGTATTACTGAGCGCTCTTGATGCCTCTCATGTACTAACGTTTAAACCAAGGATGACGAAGCAGAATGGTTGGACATAAATTAGGTTTACACAACGTTTAAATGAAATGTGCAAAAAAAAAAAACGGGATTAATTTTGCTTCGTGTAAAAAAAACTAAACCACACGGTAGAGTAACACTAAACGAGGCTTACTTTATTTTATTGACATACCGCCAGTATTTATCCCGTTTTTTTTTAGATATCACGTAAACGTCGCGTAAACCTAATGTTTTTCCAAACATTTTGCTTCGTCTTTTTTGGTTCACAAGTGAGTATCAAAGTGGGGATCAAGATAGATCAACAACGCCATGGGTGTGCGAATAGTGGCTCAAAGACAATAGCGCAGTGTCATCTAAAACTAAATCGCTGTGTGGGTTTTCAGCACAAAAGTTCCAAGACTCGAGCTGCACCACGTGGCGGCAATTAAGCTACCGACCCAATAATACGCACAAACGTAGAGAGATGACTCAAGCCTCCCATCACCGAACAAAGATGTGGCCTCAGGCTTTTATCAGACTGGTGGTGTCGTGATGAGGCGGGTTGGTGACCGCTCAAGTGTACAATAGCGTGGTAAAAGATGGCTCTCTCGTATGAACACATGGCGATGTCACCTGGTTATTCCTGGACGCCCATACATCTCAGGCGTGTTCTTTATTTCGCTTCTGACTTTAGTTATTGACGCACTGTCAGTAATACTTCGCATGTACACCTCTTTGCGGTGCAACCAGGCAACCAATCGCTACAACACACTAAAAAAACTCGGCAAAAAAAAAAAAAAACACAAAAAACAACAACAGAAAAACTAGTAGAAATGATAAGATGTCGGTTCTTCCACCAAATAAAACGTCTAATGTGCTCAGAGCATATTTAGGTTACCAGCGTATTCTTCATTTGGCTTCCCAGAATATTCATCCCGCATTAATGGCTAATCAAACTCCTAATGAATGGTACCATGATTGTTCTTTCAGGTGCTCACAAGATACATTGCTCACAGATAAGTTTTGACGTGTATTAAGCACACTGAATGGTCGACCTAAAAATAAAAACGTGTGGAGCATATGCAACTGCAATGCGGTTTTGATGGAGCGTTTTGAGTTTGCTCATGCGCGATGTTTCCTTTCATTTTGCACAGATTCTGGACGAGTCCATTAAACTGAATAAAAGTAAAACAATTCCAATCATGATTGACCCGGAGCTCGGTAAAGACACGAAGGTCGTCATCGTGTCGGACAGCCAAACTAACCTGGAGGTTCACATTTTGGACCCCATGGAAAACACATGCAAGGCCTGCTCCTTTCGTATTTCGAACTCTGGTTCAAAATGGCGAACCATCGAGATTCCTTCGCCAGCAATGGTATGAAATTCAGGCTTTATTCTTCGGTGTTTTGATTGTGTTAGACAAAATGTGTTATCGTATCAGAAAACTTTGTTATCTCTTTACACAGAAGTGTTTTGCAATAAAAGGTATGGTGAGATAACCGCACATTTCCAGCGCCCGTACTTTGCTTCAGGGCAATGAGCACATTGTGCCGGGGGTTCTTTAAATTAATCTGGCTAAATGACAAATATGGTACAAATATTAGTGTTGCAACATTCTTAATATTCAGTGTCACTATTTCGTTCAGAAATGTTCTACTCATTAATTGGGACTGGTTAAATCACTACAATGCCACAATGGAGGTTGCATAGTGTCTCGGCGCAAACTTCGCTGACTTTAGATCTCCCATAACCTGATACACATGCTTACTCTCTCTCACTCTCTCTTTCTAAAACAAAAAAAAAAAAGAAGAACGAGTATTGAAAATCATTTCAATTTCACGCTGTTTACTTTGCGAACGAAGTTACAGTCAGTTTCAATGGATGTTTTATTTGTTATTGACAAAGCCTAGCTCTGAAGGAACTAAACATTTTCAATTGGATGTTTGCGGTACGTTTTGTCATAGTCCAATATGTTCTATTCAAACGCTTACCTGTCGTTTTACGACAATATTGAAAGCGTTGATATCTCCAAGGTGTGACCATCTGTTATATCCTTATAGAACCATTGTGATGAATGCAAGACTACAGTAAATTAGTCAGAGGTTCCTCCATTCCGTGTCCAGTATTGCTCAACTCACCAGTCACGAATTTACAAGCAGTCCTGACCGGCAAACTTTTATTTTATTTAGAAAAAAAAAAAAAAAAAAAAAATGTCGCGATGCGTTTGGAACATGAAGTTACCCTTTTTAATCTTGGCGGTACGTCTAGTTTTAGGACTATCGTGATGGTAAAGCGTTTCTGGAGCTGTTTCTTGCTCGCGAAATCGCAACGCGCGACGGCCGTACGCGTCGATGCCAACGTAGGTAAACCCGTATGCAGCAACGGACAGCTGCTTCCACCGGTGTACTCTCAACGCCTCTAGGCTACATAAACTGCGCCACGTGCAGATAGAATAAACGCATATGTACTAAATACATTTTTAAGCTAAGAAAGAAAGGCTTCAAATGGACTCGTGTTTTATTTTCACGTTTGAAATGCATAGTGTGTCAGTCACGCACTCCGCGCACGCCGCAGAAAACGGATTCGTTCAGATCACGTGACTGTTCACTCGGCTCTCCTTGGTGAGAGCAGACGCGTGCTTTCAGCATAACAGCGGCGCGTGTCTTATTTGTTTTTTGGTTTAGAACGCAAAAGGCGCGTTGGCCATTACGAAAGCTTACGCACCCGAAATGACGCCGCGCCGACGTCGACGCGGGCGAATCGCGAGTAAGGTCGTTCCACGCGATTCATGAGGTGACAAGAACGCGTACACACGCAGTGGGAGTGACAGCAAAAGAAACTAAAAATGTTACCCATAGTTTAAAGATCGCATGTTGTCTCCTTTTTTTTCCGTAGCCCGGTACCTGGAATCTTGCTCTGGCGACGAAAGCTGACACGGATGTAGTAAACGTTCGCGTAACTTCGATGGCTGTGGCAGCCGATGACCATCCCATTCGGCTGCGTACCTTTCTCAAGAAACTCGACGTCAACCAGGCGCTGGACGCCTGTATCTTTTCGGAAGTGTCCAAGGGTCCCCATGCAGTTCTGCGTGCAAAGGTCCTGGCCAAGGTCTTGACACCCCAGAAGAACGTTGGGCAGCTGATCGTGGAGCTTTTCGACGATGGAGTCGGTGCGTTTCATTAGCCTGTACCACGTAGACAAAGGGCAGGACTATCTCCACTACAAAAGGTGCCTAAAATGCGTAGAGCTATAAACACCGCCAGTTCAAAGCCGCATTCACACAACTCAGAACCTTACAAAAAGGCACTTCATTCGCTTCAAGCATGGTGACGGATTTATCTGCGGACAGATCTCAGGCACGTCGGAACCATGTTCGCCTCACACATATGTTCAAACCTGTCTTCAAACAGTGTTTTACGATCAATGTTTTAGGAAGGAACAGGCTCCAGAGGATGTCTTCAGACCGACTCTTGTATCATGTATTAGCAGTACTGTGACCACGGCTGAAGGGGCAGGTGGTGTGGAGGGGTGTAGCCCGAAACAACCCATTCCCGTTTGAACCCGTCCCGTTTTGACCCATTCCCGAAACGACCTTCCCGTTTGAACCCGTCCCGTTTCGACCCATTCCCGAAACGACCCTACCGTTTGAACCTGTCCCGTTTCAACCCGTTCCCGAAACGCCCTTCATATTTGAACCCGTAGCCAATAGATATTTTACATTTGAATTCGTCTCGTTTGAACCCGTTGGTATAAAGCCCCGGACATCTCAACCTTTTCGCGAAAAGTGTCCATCGTTCTAATCCTGGTTTGCGCAGTTTTTCTGCTTAAGGATATGTTCCGAAATCATGTTAATGGCATTAATGCAAAGGTGCAGGTAAGCAATTCCGTCATGTTGTGAAATATTTTTGCTTGTAAACGTATTCTTAAAATATGCAATACTTTCAGACAAGCTTCAACGAAATGCATTTCTACTTGAACAACTTAAACTGTTTCTTTCAAGATGGTCCCCAAAATATGTAACTACGAAATGGACTGTGTACATTGCGCGACAACGTTACCACGAACACGATGTTGGCGATTTTTCGAATTTTACTTCGAAATGGTATTAGAAGTACCACATTTTACCGCTTAGTGGCCCAGAGGAGCACTTTTAAACTCACTAATAATATTGATGGCAGTCTTCTGATTTTTTTAGACAAGTAGCTAAAACCAACAGTCGCTTGTTTGCGCTAACGGTTTCGCCAGGGAGCTTTCGTAGATCGTTTTCGACGTCACGCGACGCTTTCGGCAACCCGCTACGATACCCAGAACTCTACAGTCAAGGGCATCGGCGCGCAGGCGCAGTAGCGGCTTCTTCGTTGCGGAGGGCTTAGCGAAATGGGGAAACGTGGTCTACGAAAACTCCCTAATAAAATCTTAGAGTAACGCAGGCCAGAGTTTTGAGTAAGCGAAAATTAGCGTTGCCTAAGTTTTCATACCGCGACGCTATTTTTAGGTTACCCGAAGCGCTTGCGTACGTTTTTCTAAAACTCCCTTATAGTGAACGGGATATTTTTAAAAGTGATAAATCAGACAGGCTGACGGGCATATGATTGCGACTTCATTTCCTGACAAGGTCAAACACAAAACCGTCGCGTACACGGGCAAAAATCATAAACCAGAAAATGCTATCGCCCTGGTTGAGGATGTCGAGCAGGAAAATCGCGCCGTCAGAAGTTCGCGGCGGTCACCTGGCCCGCACGGCACCACCATTTGCAAGCTGCTGCAGCGATATCCCTATCAAGGCCTCATCCCATTTGCAGGTCGATGAAGCTGTAAATGTTCGGGCGAGCTCTCCCTGGCACAGAGTTTGTTTTACGAGGTTGTTTGTTGAGAGGGAGAAGTGATGTGAGCAAGGAGAACAGACACTGGACACTTGAACCTAATCAACTGTTAACGAATAATACAAACTAACCGAACGATGGCCGAAGCGAGAAGGTTGTTTCAGAAAAGGGCGAAATAGGAAAGGATGAAACGAGAAGGTCGTTTTGATCCGGGTCGAAACGGGAAGGTACAAACGGGAAGGTTGAATCGGGAATGGGTCGAAACGGGAACCACCCGTGTGGGGGGGCCCAAGTCACGTATTGCGGCACGGCAGCCAATGCGATAGTTGCATTAGCCAATAAGAGCACCGCTAAGAGCACCGAAGAACGAATCACGTAGCAAGAAGCGTGAGGGTGATAAACAACGCGTTGCGTTTTTTAATCTGTCAGTGACTGTAGCTGGGCTTCTTTTTTTCTTAGGAGTGACCGGTGTGGGTGACTTTTGAGATGATCACGATGGACGTCTTGTCCAGTCTATGTACGGAGGTGAACGAAGCCATGTCAACTTGATTCGCTCGCGCACATACAGGGGCCTTCGGGAAAATAAATGAAAAAAGAATGAATAAAACAATAAAAAACACTTGGGAGCAAGGACAGACAGCACAGTTCTCTCAGGACTGTTCTGTCTCTCCTTGTCTGTCCTTGTTTCTCCCTGTCTGTTCTTGTTCGTCCTTGTCTGTACTTGTCCCTAAGTGTTTTTATTTTTTCAATTATCTTTGTACTCTCGCTCTTTGTTCTTTGGGGGAAGAAAAAAAAGGGCCCTGCAACGGCTTATGACTTTCGCCTTGAGTTCTCTATATCCTATTGTTTATTTCATTATATTATCGGCTGTGTTCACTTATTACCAGGTGCGGACGTCACGGCCAACGACGGCATCTACAGCGCCTACTTCACGCAGTTCAAGGGTAACGGAAGATACTCTGTGGTGGCCGAAGTTGTGGGAGATGGATCGGCAATTATTGTGAGAGGACGACGGGGTTCCGGAGGTCTTCCCGTTGTAGCGTCTCCCCCTGGTACGTGGCCGGCGATAACGGATTCCCGGAGGTAGACGCAATAGATATCGACTAGTAATTTTGTTTTGTGTTTGTTTAAAAAGCGGGAAATTAGCTCCAGTGGGCGTATTGTTTCAGCTGTAGAAGAGGAATTCATCCGGTGCAGTACCACCACTACCCTAGGGTCTCGAACGTGCATCGCGCAGTAGTGATTAGACGACCGCACGTCGGTACAATGCTCACCCAGATCGGAACGTGCGAGGGTGAGGAAGGAACCCAGGGTCCCTGGGTTCTGCAGCTTGAGCTTTCGCTGCATATACTGCGAGCTGCGGTGAGTTAACACACTCGGCCACTGGACATCACAAGCAAAGATTTCATAAGATGAGAAGCAAAAAACAGGTTTGATGTGCCAGGATTATGACAGATAACGGAAACGATGAATCAGCATTTTTTCAGAACTTTGTCTTAGATAGACATTTCTCAGATAGACCGCTATAGACGAAGTCTTCTACTTCCTTTTTGTATATCGGTCTAGCCTGACGCATATGACGACACTTTTTGGCTGTGTGCCCTTTTTTGCTATTGGGCTTTTTTGAGTACGTTAGGTTTGCGCCATCAGAACAACTGTTAGTAAACACTCTCAAGAAATAATTCCACGGCGTAGTGTTGGTAATCGTATGAGGTTTTAATGTGTTTAATCTATTGGTGAACACATGCATGTTTGTCAAACTTTGCATTGCAAGCTGCCACCAGAAAGACTTTCGACACCTTTGCTGGTTACCGTATGTATTCGGGCCCAATTTTCCAGAAATAATTTTATCTTGCAGAAGTATCTACAAATGTGGCAGCTACCGAGAAAACGGCTTCTGCCTCTCCGGAGTTTGGAGCCGAAGGACTTCCGTTTGAACAGTTTGTTTACGTGGATGAAGACATCGAAGTTGCCGAACCACTAGAGGTTGTTGGCGAAAAAGCTCCAAGCTTCAGAAGATTTTCAGATGGGGGCTCCTTCCAAGTTGACGGCGCGATCGATGTGTCTAAGATTCCACCGGCCTCGATCCAGGACCTTCGAGTCGCTGATGTTATTACTGAGAACGGCACTCTTTGCGTTGTCCTGTCCTGGACTTGTCCGGGAGAGCACTTGGACTATGGCCAAGGTAAGAAGTCACCTTTTGCATTGCCTCGCGTTGCATTCAGTATAGTTGTTTTAACTCTGTCTGAACTTCGGCATTTGAACATAGTTTAATTCACATTTTCTTTGATGTGAATATTCAAGAGAAAGAATAAAGCTCGCACTGATAAACATTAAATCGGCTTAACATTAGACAAATTTTGGTGTTAGTGCACTGTGGCAATGTGTTTTAAACTATGGCTATGAGGTAATTATAAACCAACACATACGAGGGGTAATCAAGAAGTTCCGAAACTGATTTTGTAGCGTAGAAAGTGAGGGAAGCACAGTGATTCGCGCGCAGCAGTCAAAGTAAAGAACCTTCGTGTCTCATTATACCAAAGGGCGTCGCTCTGTGAACATTTGGAGCTGCGCTACACTGGTTTGTTTGACCACATGCACGAGCATGATGGCGATCTTTCCATACACTGCAAACCAAAGCGAGAACGAACATCAATTTTACGTCAAGCTCAGCAAACATAAAACAGAGACCTCTAAAATGATTTAGAAGGCTTATGTAAAAAAAAAGGAAGGTGTGCGAGCTGTTTTGAGTGGCACTCGCGCTTCAAGAATGGCACAACGTGACCGAAGTCAAGGAAAGGTCGGATAAAGTCGCCCCACCGCTCTTCGTCTTCCAGCGATGTTCTGCCGTTCCTGAAGCGCGAGTGCCACTCAAAAACACTTCGCGAAATTCACTGCTTTTTTACACAAGTCTGCGGAATCATAGCGAAAATCTCTGCTTTATATTTGTCAAGTTTGACGCAAAATGGATGCTCGCTCTCGCTGTAGTTTGTAGTCTATACAAACATCGCTATTGTGCCCATGCACGTGGTCACAAAAACTCGTGAAACGCAGCTCCAAAGTTCACAGAGCGGCGCCCTTTGGTATAATGAGACATGGAGGTCCCTTCCTTCGACTGCTGAGCGCGTATCACTGTGCTGCCCTGTATTTTTACGCTACAAAATCAGAGCCGGAACTTTCTGGTCACACCTCGTATGCTACCAGTCAGAAAAACAGAATTGTGTTTGTCGTATAATAAAAGCGCCGCATGCGTCGCCGATAGCTCAGACTTTGTGAAAATCTAGTGGTGCCACTTGGTAAAGTTTCCAAGTAACGTGACTGCAATAAGAAAAAAAAAAGTTTTTTGAGAAAAAAATAACAAAGAAAAACAACTCTGCTCGATAGAATATAATTTTTGCTGCATCTCTTAAATGGAGTCACTGGCAGCCTTGCATTAAGACGCTGAAAAGGGGGTAAAAAAATTAAATGTATGGCGTCTTCGAACGAACATGGCGGCATGGAGACGTACGAGCGTCAAGAGACCGGGAGAGGGGACAACTGTGCGAAGAGGGAGATTTGAACTGCTTTCCCGCATACAGGGACTTTACGTCAAGCTGCAACGTCGGGCCAACTAGTTTGTAACTCTGGGTTACTGCAAAATACGCGCGAGTGATTTGTCGGGCAGGAGCGTACATTCAGTTGTGGAATATAAAAACATAAAGTGCACATGACGCCATCTTCGCCGCATTAAGACTGACAAGTTTCTTACGAAGTTTTCAGTATTAGGACATGTGTCCTCGCCTTGCTGGCGGCTGCGAATAAAATAATATCATAATTACACGTATTTCTAACTACTGAAAAAGATGTGCGGCTGGTGGTGCCGTCGCCGCTATTATGGCCACACCATTTCTTGTCCCACTATACACCGACAAACAAAAAGAACCAACATCACCAAGCGTCACACACGTTCAGAATGCACGCGAAGGTATCTTTGGTAGGCTTGCGGTCCCTCGTGCTTACTTCACGAGCACCAATAAACTGCAAGCCTGTCAAAGGTAAGCACTTCTGCGTACACGCTGCACGTGTTTGAGACCAGTAGGTGTCCACTGTTTCTGTTTGTCGCTCTAGTGGGACTCAGGTATTAGAGTTGCTAAATAAGCAGTGCCTTAAAGTAACACCACGTCATCCATTTTGTTGTTTAACATTACGAATAACGGTTATGTAAAGCTTCATCTGAAATTGCAGGGAACGCTTTTCCATTCGACGAGAAATGCTCAAAAAAAGTCTGCGACAGAGCAACATACCTTCTTCTGAGTTTGCCGACACTATGTCTAGGGCTCAGGTAGTCGATAGCCTAAACGTAGCTCGATTGGTGGCTGTAGCCACAACCTTGCGTCTACCTTAAACTAAGTGAACCGGCAAAGCTAGGCATATTAACGCGACGCCGCGTGTGAAGGCCAGAACAAATTGCGAAAAGAAAGGCTATATTTTGGATCTAATATTGTCTCGTGAATTGAGATAATATGCGCATACAGATGAGCTAGAAAAACGCCAGATCCGTGCCGCAAGGTTTGTATTGGGAATCTATATCGAGAACATGCCAACGTAACTTACTAACTTGGGTAGTAATTTAATTACTGTAATTTAATTACTTTTCTTAGTAATTTGTAATTGTAATTAATTATTTTCGCCCAGAAGGAATTGTACTTGTAATTTAATTACTTTCTAGCGTCAGTGATTGCAAAAATTCAGGCACAATTACTTTTGCAAAACTGCGGCGCCAACGGAACCTCTCCGAAAGCCTCAGCGTTCGCACAAGCGGCTTAGCTCTCGGTGAAACACTCGCGCGAAGACACACACTCACACACACTCACAACATAAATAGCCTCAGATTGTTTGTTGTTTTGTTGGTTATACTGCGGGATGAGAAAATCCTCTTTGGAGCCTACCTCAACGGCGCCTTGCTGCGTCATCGGCAGTGCGAGCAGAAAACAATAGCGTAAACATGCCAAAATACTGAAAGTACCGAAAAAAAAAATAAGCTTCAGCTTTTAGTTGAGGTAGGTACTTTAATTGTCTATAAAGTTTTTTTTTTTTTGCCAGTTTTTGACATCCCTCTTCCAGTACGTCGCATGTTGTATCTGTAGCATTTTGAAGTTTATTTTCTGTTGGTTTTACTTTGTATATTTTTTGCATAAGCATCTTGGAGACTGACCTCGCACCTGTGAATATTGTTACTAATGATTCGGGAGCCCCTATTCGGTTCTGATATATTTCTGAGCCATTATAATTTCAACTCAATGCAAATAATTTACTATACCATGATGTTTTTATGTGAATGCGGTCGTATTAGCGCGTGTGGATTTTAGTTCTATATTAACACTTGTAGATTATTCATGTATGACTAATTGTCGCATTTTTATTTTCCCGGGCTAACAAAACTCTATAAACCCATTTTTTCTTTAGCGATCTGGCATCTTTCAACACATGAACTAATTCATTATTATTTATAAAAAAAATATAAGAACCGAGTACTTCATTGCCTCAGACTGTCAAGTTCCATCATTAATCTAACAAAATTTATGAAAGGAAAGCACAACATGTGGCATTTACGCAGCGATGATTAAGCCTCCTCAAACATTGGGGCAAGAAATGAACAAATACTATGCGTTCTTTACCGCCGGTTTAAAGTTATATGGCCCCAGTCGGGTGTCTCTAAGAAATACGTAATTGTAAAGTAATTGCATTACTTTTTATAAGTAATTGGTAATTGCAATTAATTACTTTTACGTAGTAGTAATTGTTATTGTAGTTAAACTACTTTTGAAGCAAATTAATTATTATTGTAATTAAATTACATTTTGAAAGTAATTTACCCTTGTATGATTAAGCACTTAATCTGATGGGATCTTCTAACTTTAAGGTGATAACACTTGTGCTTGAAGTTTTTGCAAGCCATCTTTAATAACCTGCCAGCAATTAACAATAATTGCTATTTAGAAGTAACAATTTGTTTCAAGTCAAGTAGATCATTCAATGGATATTAAAAAAAAAAAAAAATATTCTGTCGAGCCAGCTACAATAAATATAATTTTGTTCCTCGCACAAGATCCGAGTGGATAGCATTGCCTGAGTCTGCGATTAGAGGAATTTACACGAAAGCGCCCTTTCAGAATGTTTTAGCTTGATTTGTTTTAGTTAACATGCTTTACTGATTCGTCAGCTGTTCATGCTCCACAGATCCGTTTTTCTAACGCAATGCCAGGCTGTACGTGCTCTAATGCTTCAATGGTGCAAATTGGTTTTGTAAAAAAAATAAAAATATTTTTGCAGCTTCTCAAGTAGAGATCAGAGTGAGCACCAACATGGCGAGCTTTCTGAAGCGTTTTGAGGATGGTGTTCAGATTTCCGAGAATGACGTCATGGAAGGCCAGTTATCACCGCTTCCGGCACGAACCAAGCAGAACGTCACCGTCAAGATTCCGGAAGATGTGGTGTCCGAGGCGAAGATCGAAAACCGCACAGATTTCTACTTTTCTGCTCGTGTGCTGAACAAGGATGGCCTCGATTCGGGAGCTTCCAACATCGCCCTGGCTACATTTGAGCATCCCTCTCCTGGGCAGCAGCAGAAGCCGCTGGATTCGAAGAACTGGGGTCTCTTAATCGGAGTACCAGTAGCTATCGTTCTTCTCATGATTGTAATTCTGACGGTTGTGTTCGGGCGACGCAGAACGTCGACGCAACAGATCCAACCAGAACCTAAGCTTCATCGGATCCACTATGCCTCCTAGGTGCAAATGTTTTCTTTGTCGACGAAAAGAAGTAAAACCATTTTAAAAGAAACATCATGGCCGTCTTGTGGCCACCGCACTTAGATCTGCTGCCAGAAATCAAGTCAAATGTTCTATTACCTTCGTTCCCAAAGATGACAAGGGCAGCTTATACTTGTTGTTATTCAGGACGCGTGGAAATGTTCCCAAGATGCATATGTGCAGTGTCTATGATGAAAATAATCTGGATTGTTTACTAAGGTAGCGCTAGCACCAAAGACTGTGAAACATGAGTTGAGCCTCTTACTAATCATACGCGTGGTTCGTCGAGAATAATATCGTGTATAGCAGTTCTTACTCCATGTTCAATGATTCAAGCAAGCATTTCAAAAACAGATTTCTGTCAACATATTGATGACTCATCTGAAGGCGATCAAGCTTTTCCGAGTCAAACGATAACTTGCAGCCCAATGAATATGTGAAAACAATTCAGTCGTTTGGTTGTGGTTACCGAATAAAATATTTATTTTGTGTTAATTTCTTACGGTTCAATATACTTTTACATTGTTACAACTCGCCCTTGAAACTCTTATCTAATCCTGGCTATTTGGTGAAGTTGGATGGTTGTTCTTCAACATACTAAAACGCAAGTCGGGGGCAAAAGAAGGAAGACAAACACAACTCCTTCTTGGGTTTCAGTACGTCGAATAACAACCAGCTGTCCTGCCTAGTGACATTGTTTATTTTTGTTTTACTTCAAATTTGATTGTACTCGATGTGCTTCTTCATGATGGGCGTTTCACTTGGATTGTTTCAGTGAGGCGCATTATTAATTATATTTCTCTAGAATTGTTAAACGTTATGTAGAGCGTGTAGTATGTTCTTCTATGGTTTACGCTTGAACGTTGAGGGATTGTTCAATTGTAGGAAGTACAATATCGATAGAGCAGCAGAGGGCGATTGCTTTACCGCCGGTTGTCCACGTTTATAGCTCTCCCGAATTCAATTTTAAACATAACCATTTTTTTATTTCCAAACCTTTTACTCGGAAATTACGTTTTAATAAATGTCGATCATAGCCTCTAGTGTTGTAAGAAATGCCCAAACTCAATAGGCCATATGCAATGTACTTGACATTATCATCATCATGCCAATTGAAACCGTCAGATTGTTTTTTTTTTCTTCTTCATATCTTCCAGTTGTGGACGAGGCACGTCTGCCTTTGACTCGGATTTCAATGATATTAAGATAGTGTATTTGTATACTCAATGGGTTTCTGTTTAGTTTTGGTTCAAAGAAGAAACGAAAGACTGCCGCGAAATTTTAGAAAAGAAATTGTCAGCAACGAGGTCTCTAGGATCGTCACTCAAGCAGTGAACTGGACCATGCATTCCAGTGAGCGGTCTTATTCGAAGACTGTGTGAAGGGTTCGTACTGAACTGGTAGCGCGCGATAATGTCTGACACCTACGGCTCCCACTTTACTTGGCCAAACTATCGGCCGGGGACGCCCCAATATTCCAGAAATTTTATAATCGAGCATGAGTACACTAAATGGCTCTTTTCGTTTTGCGTATAGTATATTGCAAATACAAATTTATCCGTGATGTAAGTTTTTCCCAATACATTATTTGGAGCAACACACAATTTATTGCCATGTGAAGTACAATAAACTACTTAAAGGGGTACTCCACCGATTTTTTGAGCTACCTCAACTAACTATATTTTCTGACTCCCCGGCCTTTAGCCTTTCCGGTATGCTATTTAGCATCGCGAAATTCATAATAGGTATTGTGAAATCGGCAAATGAAAATGGTGCAAAAACCAACATTCAAATATTCGCGCACTTTTCAGTGCCGTGACGTCAGTGGCAGGCAGGCTTGCATGTCGAGCAAGCAGCCAAAAAATAGAATGTGCCAATCATTTGTTCCGTGCTGCTGCGCGGGTACTGCAGCGAGCTTCCCAAGCATTCTTTTGACACCATGAAACTGCTTCGAATCAGTTTAAAACAAAATCTACAGCCCAAAGAGTGAACCCCTGCCTTCCACTGACGTCACTTTTTCATTGTTGCCAGTAGAGACTTTCAGTTTGAAAAACATGGTGAAGACCAAACCTGTAAATTCAATAACTTCGCGAAAAAACAATATTTTGACCTAATATTTGGGATACTATTTTAGCGATGTTTGTTGGTTAGTTTAGCAAAATTTCAAGCAAATCGGAGACAATGAAAAAACCGGTGGAGTACCCCTTTAACGAATCAACTCAGCTGTTTGTTTTTAAGCGTTTAACACGCTAATTACAAACACGAAACGTGATCTGAATCAGGCGGGTGGGGATGAGATAAATATTTATTCTCTGTCTCACATTAATATTGATTTAGCAGCACTTAGAGATAATTTAAGATGGAAAGGAAGAGTCATCAATATTGGAAGAAAGAGATTGTTGAATATTATTCAGGTTGACCCCAAGACCAACTTTCCCGGACGGCGTTTTAGTTCTAGTTTTTAATGACATGTGGCGTATCGACCGTAAATTTCATTTTAAATCGCTGATTCGCCATCCATCGCAATCTCATTCTTGTCTCCCATGTCTCTTCTCGCCGTTTTACTGTTCCCTCACCTTTCCTTTCCACTCCCTCCGGCCTGCGGCGTGTTTGGCGGTTGTATAAAGCGGCATTTGGGAGGGACTCGAGGAACAAACAAACAAACATCACAAAAGCCCACCCAACGCGGTTAGAAGGCGACCCTAACACTATGCGGAAAATAAAAAAACACCGAATTAAGTAATAAAAAAAGAAAAAAATATCAGGCTCATTCTAGTACGTTAGTGCAGCCTCTAATAGAACCATTAAATAAACAAGTCGCCGAGTTGATTAAATCACACGATTGCATATAACGTCCTTGCATCGTAGACTTGAGGCCATTCATCCTCACTTTGGTCATAGCCTCCCCCATTGAAGGGATACTTTAACGAAATTTGAAATATACCCGTCGTGTTCAGAAATAGGCTGAATATGATCCACAGTATCCGCAAATGACAATCGCACATTTGTGTTTTGAGCCTGATGGCCGTATTTTTCGATATAAACGGCCCACTCTGTCGTGCACTCGGAGAGCAGCCAGCGGAGAGAACGTGACATCCAGTGCAATCGTGACGATAGGCTGTCTCGGGTCGGGCACAGCTGCGGCGAGGCTGTCGTCGTCAGGATTTACTAAGCCGTTCCGGCCACCGAAGCGGTCAAAGCACGCCAGCGATCGGGCCACTGAACTATAACCGCTTAGCTGCTTTGCACGAATTTTGTGAGGCGGGTTTAATATCTTCTATAATCTTGTAGAGGGAGAATAGCGGCGTCTGGGAAAGTCTGGGACACACAAAAGAGAGTCCCGGTGAGAAGGAAATTCCTCCTTCATCCCTTCTCTTCTGATGGCCGCAGAGCTGGAGGGATGACGTCAGGTTCAAGGCAGGTATATTTTTAGGCGAGACAGTTATCGTCACAAGCTGTCACGGTTCCTAGACAGTCATTAGAAGCGAGGCTTTAGTGACATACCCTAGGTGCCATTTGCTAATCGTTGAATTTGTTTTCAAAATCCTCTTTGTGTATTATTCAACAAGATATATGTGTGTCCGATGGGATATTGGTGCCTTTAACACGTACAAACCAAGAAATAGGCGGCGAAATTTCATTGCGGTATCCCTTTAATTTAATCCAAGCTTATTTCTCTGCCGATACCTTGGTAAAAGCCTGGAGTTTTGACCTTTCGCTTTATGCATACTGCATAAATTGTCTCTGGAAGCACACCTGAAAGAGAGCAACAAAACAAAAGAAGTCAGCAAGAAACAATGTATGTTAACTACGTATACATAACATCGAAGCGAGTATTGGAGTCTCTGCATACTTGGATTTGCTCAGACACTAAACCATGCCAATAACCACAATGCTGTACTTATTAGGCTGTGGCGTAAACTTTTGTGAACGTAAAATTTTATCGTTTTTAAATAATCTGTTGCACTTGCTACTAATAGAATCAGGTGTGGCTCGTTTCACATCAGGAAGCACCGTTGCGAAGGCTTTGGCTGCGGTATGAGCCAACACATGGCTTTGACGTGATGCCAGTGAGTGTTATTTATATTAGTAGTGGACAAAATATTTTGTATTTGCTGTATATGGGTTTCGTTCTGTACATAACTAAGCCGAATGCTTTCCTGCGAGAAGTAGGCATCGCACAGAAAAAAGTATTATCTCTAGATTAGCTGCCGTCGCGGAAAATTTATGCAGGTACATAGCGTTTTAGTTAAATTAAGCATATGGTTTCACTTATAAGCTTTCTGGCCGTCATCAGAATTAAAACAAAAATATATATGTATAAATAAATTACAAAATGTTTAAATCTTTAGAGCGCGTAAGAAGCGGGTGGAGTGCTAGAGCTAACCACTTAGGCTAGACGTCTCAGCGCTCGAGAAAAAAAAAAAAAAAAAAAAAACGCTCGGGTGCATTACAGTTGTTTAGGTTTGCAGAAAAAAAAAAAAAAAAAAAACGTGCGCACTTTATGTATGTAAAATGAACTTATTTATTTGTTTTCGATGACTCCCACTAAATTTTGAAGAGGAACTATATATGTTTGCTCTTACCAATAGTGGGTAGATATACTCCGGAAGGTTTACGGGGATACAAATACCGAGATATATGTATTTTAAGGTCAAAATACTGATACTGAGATGCATTTGTTTTGCATGTAACGGGATATCCGTGAAATACTTCTGAGAAAATGGCAAGAAAATACCCCGGTATACAGATACATCTAGAAGTAACTTGTTATTCACAAGGTAGGTGCGGAGGGTGCGTTTGTCTCAGTTTATGCACATTCCTTTACCTCAACCTTTAGTTTTTGGCGCTCTATGGCCTTAGTATCTTTTGTGTCATAAGCACCTAATTAACCAACCAACCAACTTATCTCAACTTTCAACCCATTCACAACTACCAGCTCAAATGCTGCTAAAAATATCTTACCGCCCCCAGTGACCCAGGTTGGTACCGGAGGCCAGTAACTGCCTGCCACGCTTGACAAAATG